CTTCATTTTTCGGTATTTTATTTGTGCCAACATGTAACGTAATCTCGAAAGTATTTAGCACCAAGTTCAGAAGCGACTTGTGTTTCCTTTCAGTATGTAAGCTACTTATTGTGAAACCATTAAACAATCTGAACAGTTGCAAAATAATTTAGTACATCTGACGAGAGGGTTTTAGCAAAAAAATATTATAAATAAGATAAATACTATCTGAACAGTATCTTTAGTATTAGTCGACAGATAATAAACAAACGAGGTATTTGTTTCTGTTTTTTAAAGACACTGGTCAAATATAACCTTTTCTACAAGTATAATTTCCCACTTAGTGCATGTTTAATGATTTCGTTTACATAACATTCAAAAATCCAATAACAGATCGTCATTGCTATAGCCCTCTTTAGTTCTCTGTAAAATAATTGTATTAATTGGCCGCAGTCTCCCGCATAACACTCATGGCTTACTTTACAAATACAAACGATGTAAGTTGGACTTCTTGGTCCAAAATTTATAAGTTCTAGAGAAAGGTTGAACTAGCAAATATGTAAGGGCAATTAAAATTCAGAATCCTCTATTTCCCCATTTATATACTTCATTAATAAACGGTTTCCGTGTCGTTCTTCATTTATGACATTCCTATTTTATTCATTTAAGACCACATTATGTTAAAGTTTATTATTTTGTCATCCAAGGGTATTGTCACCAGGATATTCATAAATAAGGAAACTTACTTCTTCGAGTCGCAAAGTATTATACTCGAAGTCCTACTTTCCAATCGATATGTGGCACGTGCGTTAAATTTCATCACTACAACATAGACGCAATAGCGTAGCAGCTCAATGACAAAAGGTCATGCCTAACAGAATGACCACAAAGTGGTATGTTTGAATCAAAGGGTTCGACCTGTTACTTTCTTCATAAAAGAAAATGATAATAATAATTGACTCATAAAGTTACTTTATTGTATTTTAACAATATAAAACCTTGGACTGGTCCACCTCTGAAATGAATGAACTGTTGGAAACTTTCACTGATTTAACTACCAGAAGTTTCAAGGCTTCTTACATAATTCAATAAAATAGTCACCCAATAGATTTCCTCGGGATGTTCTGGTTTCGCATGTATCGAAACGGCATAGTTTATTGTATTTTAACAACATAAAACCTTGGACTGGTCCGCCTCTGAAATGAATGAACTGTTGGAAACTTTCACTGATTTAACTACCAGAAGTTTCAACGCGTCTTACATAATTCAATAAAACAGACACCCAGTAGATTTCCTCGGGATGTTCTGGTTTCGCATGTATCGAAACGGCATAGTTTATTGAAAATTTGTCATTATATATATCAACATTTTGCACCTGGTGTGCATGATGACGTTATATCTTGTTGTCACAATTAACAGACCCGGCATGGCCTGATGGTTAGGGCGCTCGTGGTGTTCGTGGGATCGAATTCCATCATCAAACATGCTTGTCCCTTTCAGCCGTGTGGACATTATAATGTGATGATCATTCCCACTATTCGATTAGAGTAGCCCAATAGTGGGCGGTGGGTAGTGTTGAGTAGCTGCTTTCCCTCTATTTTATCACTTTTAAATTTGAGACGCAAAATTCAACAATAAGAAACACAATTCACAGGTGACACATAATTTAGAGGTAATATAAAGCTCTATTCTAAAAAAATAACCTGTTAATTACTTCTCCATATATAAGTTGGATAACACTTCAAATTGAAATAAAGTGCAAACCAAAGTAATTTTACCATGAACACCTAATATGCAAGAAAACGTCGTTTAATGAGAGTGGTAGCTTTCGTTAAAATTACTAAATAATTTTATTTTTTAATTGTATATATATATAACTACTTTGTATTTTGTTATTTGTTTTTATTTCACGTAAAGCTACTCGAGGGTTATCTGCGCTAGCCGCCCCTAATTTTGAAGTGTTAGGATAGAGGGAAGGTAGCTAGTCAACACCACACGCCGCCAACTAGTGGGCTGCTCAGATAATTGATTTTGGCAGTAACGGAGCACGAACCATGGAACCTCGGATCCACAGTGTAACACACAAACTGTTTTGCCAGATGTTGGAAGGGTTATCATTCATAACCATGGCCCCCACTTCGGAATGAGGGCGTGCTGCAGATTGGCTTTCGATGTAGTTTCGGACACCATTGTTGGTCTAAATATTCTGGTTTGAAATATTTTTCTGCTTCTGTGCAGAAGACTGAAGACTTCCTTGTTCGGAATACAAGTCCCTTGCTCTACATCCTTCAAAATTTTCGCTATAAGAATACAACTTGTTAAAAATGACGACATAACCTTAAAATTATAAATATATTCATAGTTGCAATTTGTCATATTGTCCGGAATACACCAAACATGTCGTCTGTGATGTCACGGCTCAAATGTGAGGCGGCACGCAACTGTATTAGCATACGATTTTATATATATATATATATATAAATGCGATTAACCCTTTACAACTACTGATTTAGACTTGTTTTATCTTTCTAAATAGAATATATAGGTGTAAATATGACAAGGATTATACTGGAATTACCCTTATAGCAATCCAAACTTAGTTGTCTTTGATACACTGATTTTTAATTATTTCAATTGTTCATTAGAAAATCTTATACTCAAAAAATTCAATAAACAAACGTAGAAAATGGGCGTGATCGATCCCCAAACTGCTTTAACATTATAACAGCATTTGTTTGAATTTTTAAAGCAAATGAGCAGAAACTTGGTGTGTGCGTTTTCTGTTTTTTCTTTATCACTGACTCGTATTTAACTGGGGAAGAGAAATTGCAGTGATCAAGTTAAGCCTTTTAAACTCTCATACCTTGTAGTGATAAAGATGAATGAAAATAGAAAACTGAATTGAAAAATTCATAGGCTGAATCCAAATTACGCCTTTCGCAACCGACTGGGCCCTTTGTGGGTTTTACTTGCTAATTGTTAGTGGATTTTTATCATCTCAAAGAGAACGCCCTTGTAAAAAGTGATTGCTAAAGATTTCACTCGTAACGAAGTAGTCAATGACTAAAGTTCTGTGGATTTGTCACTACAACAAAAGGATTAAATTTACAGTCAGGCTAACTATCAACTCACAATCATATAAAAATAAATGAAAAATTAATATATATCACCAGGATTTCTGTTTAAACTGTCAATAGTTTAAAGTTGCAATGACGCTGATGTCCACCTTAAACCTTAGTTAAAGTTGATTCTTACAATGGTCAGTGAGTGAATACTGCTGGCACATGTACATACGTTTCATACATAATTATATGTATCCAAACAAGGAAATGTACAATACTTAGCTTCAGTATTTCTTAGCCTGGAAATACTTACTCAAAACTCTTTTTACTGTAACGTGACGCTCAGAATAATCGTAAAAAAACGCAACTTCAAGTAGTATTACTATATATTTGAAACTAGCTCGGAGAGTTCTGATTCAAATACGATACCAATACACCTAGTATCGTCTCTCAAGAAGTCACTAGCTAATTATAATGTTATAAACATAGACAAACAGTTTCATGTTAAAATGTGGCAGATATACATGGCAATGCTGCTCTGCGGTAAGCGAATTTCCAATAACGCAGCATTTGTTGTAAGACCCTTTAATAGAGAAGAGACGTTTCCCGCAGCCAAGACGAGGCTATTACATCTTAGCAGAAAGAATTAGGGCATCGATTAGGTCTCGGCGCTAGTAAACATCGTCACGTGCTTAAAGGATGCTAAGAAAAGCTACACGTACGTCAGGCTGTTTTTAAAAACTCTAGCTCTGTGCCTTGGGAACTTGCGATTTTGATAAATGTCCATAGATAGCATAGTCATATAACCCTAATTTATTTAAAATTTTACAATAACGAATATTAATATCTACTTAGTGTTAAACTGTTTCCTTTTTACATAAGAGCAATAAGATTTTGTGATGCTGTACAAAATATTATTAATTACATGTAATTGAAAGAAGCGCATTAAGTATCCAAATATTGTACGTGGATTTAATTTTGAAGAGGAAATAAATCAATATTGTTTTCAGGTGTAACATTAGTCTTGGTTATGAATCATGACTAATTCTTGATATAGTTTAAGAAAAATACTTTTTATTAGTCGTGTATTCTTGTTAAGCACACACAAAAAACTGGTATTAGACTTTTACAACAAGAAGCCATGGATGTAAACGTGTGTATATGCTCAACTCTAAGTACTTTTTTGAAATTATGCTGATTTTTTTTTTTTCCTAGATTGAAACAGTCTTTTTAAGTTGGCCGCAAGTTTCTAGACTTTCTAGATTTTATTTAAAAATCGTTAAAGTGAGAAACATTGAGTTTTCTGTCTACGCAATTTGGTATGTTTTTGCGCAGAAATACCGAAAATGAATTATCCAGTAAATAATTTAGCACTGGGTCTATTCAAACATTGTTTGATTGATAAGAAACAATATTATCGATTACGTATCGGGTTAGTAGGTTTAGTAAATTAGTCTATTGTATAAGTAACTGATGTTAGTTAATTTATACTTGAGACACTTAGCTATTTGTTATTGGGCGGTTTTTAATGACACTAAAAACTGCTAATAAACAACCAACAAAACACCAACACCCTTTTACTTATTTACTTTAAATGAGGATAATTCGTTTTACACTTTTGTAATTCTTATCGGAAATGTTTTACCTGTTGTGTTAGAGCTTTTATTCCTTTGTCTTCTTATACAACACTATAATTCTTATAGTAATCATTGTAGTCAAGATGTCTTATGTTCTACAGGAGTGAAGGATATGGGGCAAAGTAAATTGTCAAATAGTCTGTTATCACTACATAGTCGAGTTATATATACGAAACTTTCAACAGTGCATATGCTCTGACATTGAGTAGTATCAGTTGATAAAATATCTCGATTTATTGGTTTTATGTCATTTAAAAAATCCAACAACGTTTGTCTTTAAACCTTGTTCTGGCTCTAAACTTTAGTTTTTTCTCTCACACAGAGTTTCCACGACACGCGTTAACTCGAACAGAAACTTCGAAACCGAGAGAAGCTGATCTGTAGTACCAGTCTCTGTTGCCGAGGTGTTGTGGCGTTAGGAGTAGTATTGATACTTCTGGCAGCTTCAGCTCTTGTTTAACGACCGAAACAACCCGAGTATGCACGTCGAGGTCCAAGTGGCGCTGAACTTCCTCATCTCCTTTCTTTATAACAAGTTACCGAGGAGGAGGGTGAACCAGTTTGGAGAAGAGTTAGAAAAAGCCCTACGTCAGAAATTTCAAGGTCATTGGTACCCCGAAAAACCTATGAAAGGATCAGCTTATCGCTGTTTAAAAACGACGTTTCCTCTTGATCCTGTATTCGAGAAAGCATCCATAGAGTGTGGAATGGACTTGCGGGACATTCAAGAAAACTTACCAAAGGAACTTAGTATCTGGATTGATCCTGGAGAGGTGTCCTACCGTCTGGAAGAGAAAGGGCCCATTAAGGGACTTTACAGTGTATCTGACATCTTTGAAGAAAGCGGTGAACGTGAAATTTCGCGCACTTTCAATCCTGAAGCTCAGTCCTTTAAACCAATAGACAGTGTGGCGTCTCAACTAGGAGGACTGTCTTTAAACTGTGCACCCGCTACAACAACAAGTACTCCTTCTCCCACCTACAAATCTACTAGCCCTGTGAATGGTTTCATACCCAAGACAGCAACTCCTCTCACATTTACCACTGCTACGTTTGCTCAGACAAAGTTTGGCTCAACCAAGCTGAAAAATAATAGTAAAAGGTCTCACCGTCTCTCCCCGACTGAGTTGGGAAATTCGATAAAACAGCGATTCATGATGCAACAGGTTCAGCAACTAGCGCAGCAACAGCTAGTCCCTTCTTCTATTCCCCAGTCAGCAGCTATGGCATCAGCCATCTTTGCTGCTGGAGGAAACTGTGGTGTCAGCGCCCCCCAGCGGCCAAGATCTCTATCACCTAATCCTCAGCCTCAATTTGATCCAAATTTTCTCCTTATGGCCTCTCTCCAGCAGCCTCAGTTTACTCCAAACACGGCTCAGTTTTCATCTTCCGCATCGGGCACGTTTGTTCCATCTGGAATGTTTGATGTTAACCTGAAAGGTTACTCGAACGACTTTATCTCTTCCTCCAACATCAGCTCAGCTGTATCCACCACTCCTGTTACTGGTACCACGAAGATGACATACCAGTCATTAGCCAGTCCGACAAGTATGACAGCTGTTAACAGCAGGTTTTCTTCATTTTTTGAAAAGTCTTTCGGAAGTAACGGAAACTCCTTGGGAGGTTTGAATCTAAACTTGCCACCATCAGACTCTACGACATTTGGTATGGACCCACTCAATGTGGGTGGTGTATCCTACACCAACCAGTATCAACACTTGTTGATGGCAAACTGAAAATTACACATCTCCCGAATAAAGGATACCTGCGTTTATTTGGTTGTCCGAAGTCAAGATGTACGACTTTTTTTGCGAAAACACTTTGAATTTTTAGTGTTCTTTCAGTCGGTATGTGATAATAGAAACGACTGCTAGTATTAGCGTGTTAATTGATGTATTTGGAGTTCAAAATTAAATTTTCCACCAGTACGAATTTAGAAAGCCGTGATTTTAACAAAGCTTGAGATTTGCTGAATTAACGTAGGATAATATAATATTGTTATTTAATTGTAACTTAAAAAAGCAATAGGTTTCCTATTGTATTCTTATAGGTGTAAGAGATGTAAACTGCAAAAAATACAAAGATTTGGAATTGTTTATATTGATTCTAGGTAACACAATCTATTTCTTTCTGGTGCGATAGAAACAATGTCAATATGCAACTATCGTCTGACTTGTTTTTTACGTTATATTATTGTTGTAGTTAAAAAAAAAAGCTAATCTATCAGTTTTATTTATGAAATTTACTTCAAAGAGATTATATCTAAACAATTCACCAGGTTTGTGGTTAATGCATACATTGTTATTAAATTGATGTCTGAGTTACTAAGGAATTTTTAAAAGGCACTCGCTGTAATCCTAGTATTAATCTATTGATGTTGTTGCCGTATTCTAGTGAATATTTAAGACTGTAGTGGGGGAGGGGGCATATATTTGGGTGTAACCAAAACTAAGTTATGAAAACCAAATGCTTGATAATATAATGTTTTGTTTAAATACGTTTTTGTTCAGCCGAATACTTAGGCTTGTAATATATTGTGTATGTAGTATGTTAAGGAATTTATTTCGTGTATTAATTACACGTTTGAGGTTGGTGTTCAAAGTTTTTCTCAACACCGGTGATGTCGAATTGGGTAGCGGGTATATTTTCTTACCTAGTAATTTGAATTATGTAATAATTATCCCTATGTGTACAGTATATATGTTAAGAGAACAGACTATATTTAATTATTCTTTCTAATATATAATGTTTAGGTATATTAAAGGTGTTTTATCTTTTCTACTTGAAAAACCCATGTGATGTTAGCTTACTTTTTTATAACTATGTCGAACGCCAACAATAAACTTGATTCACAAGAATAATTGTTACGATTAATATTATTATTATTATTATATTATTAGTGTGAATGTTTTATAAGATACACAGTTCTAGAACTTTTCTTATCGGTATAATAGATACTACGTACCTTTTTTACTCGTGTGCGGTGTCGTAAACATAGATTGAGTGAGTGCTTTGGGGTTGCATGTAACATAATTATTGTACACGTTCTCGTCTCGCACCTACTCATATTTCATTGTGCTTGGCCGTTCCTATAAGTATGCCCTTGCTATAGGTTTTCGTTTTCATATCTTGTTACATTTTTAAGTTTGTAATAAATGTTTGAGCATTTTTCTTAATGAAAACAGTTGTTCAGTCTGTTTTTCTTATTATTCGTTGTTGTTGTTTTTTTTCTAGGTGTAAATATGCCAAATGAAATCTTAAATACAAACTCTTTGGATTGAGTAGGACTTTTATTCTTTTCGTAGGTTCTAAGCAGAGTAGTTACATTCACATGCTTTAAACACAAATTTTTATAACTTAAGAGGAATAGTTTCCTATTTTTCTAAAATAATTGCTACAACTTTGCTTTACGAAAGATAATTAATCACATAACTATTCGTAAAAACATCACGCGTAGACAACATAGTATTTGTTATTGATAGTTCATTTCAACATAAATTATTGACAGTTGGAATGATAATTACCATATTCTTACTTACCCGTTAACCAGTTTTTCCAGAAACTTGTTTTACTGTGTAACACTTAAACAATCGCGAGATTTATTAACAGGATCTTGTGAAACTTGTAGGTTTTTCAAGTGAATTCTGCAAAACTGTGGAAACCATAATATATATAAAACTACCCAAAGTAAGTGTGTTTTAAACAAAAAATATCAGTTATGTTAAACTTTGAAGGAATGTGCGTCCCTTCCGTATAATATTGAAAATATGCTCGTGTAAGTCTGTAGTATTCCACATACAAATTTAACTTGTTATTACGGTTTGAATTTTGTATTAAATTTAGTCTCAAAGTCTATTATAAGCTCTGGAATTCTAATCCACGATGTTAACACAAAACATATGTTTATGGTGCTTCAAAGAACTTGAGTAAAGAGGGTCGTTCACGATCTATTGTAGACACACTACTAGGCTTTGCAGTTCCTGGCTATGGACTACTTGCTCTGCAGCGGAATATTCACTGCAGGAGGCTTCGCACAATACACTAAGTTCATTATTGTCCCCCTCCTCTTTGCATGCTTTTCGAAGTACAAGAATCGTGCACAGAATACGACTTCAGAAGGCACGTATGAGTAATCCAGCGGCACACAAGTCCAAGGGAAATGTCTGCGAATGGGGTAGCATGAGTTCCTTTTGTAGTTGCATGTTGCGGAGTTATTGGCAGATTTTCTTGGACGTATAGCTAAAGTCATACCTTGTTGGCTTCCAGTTCCTAAAGAGATGGCATTTCCTCACTATATAGTAGTGTCAGTTTGATAGTGTGCAGACCTCATCTTCACATTTTTCTCGGGGTCTTCGAATATTTAACTTAGTTGCAGGTTTCAGCTATAATACTAGCATAAATTCCCATTTGCACCATTTTGTAAATGTTGTATCACGGGAATGAAAAGAATACGTTCCGTGGACTTTTGCAAACACTGAATTAAACAAATGACTGAATGATGGAACACTTCCATTTGTCTTAAGCTAGACACCACTCATAAAACTTTCTATAATTGGTCTTTCGTGTTAACGCTCATGCTGTGTCGCTTTTGTAGACCTACACCCATGTGGATTTATCTTATTTAGAGTTCCAAGGGAGCTTCTTACTTTAACCGCAATGGACCACTGTGTTATTGAATTATTTCTGTTGGCAAGTTACTTAGCTTTTTTTTTCAGCGTGCTTATGGTGAACGACTAGTAACCAGTTGCGGAATAGCCTTTATTCTTGTTTTATTTATTTATTGTGAAAATTATTTTAAATTGGTAACTTAATACACGAATTTAGAATTAGCCTTGGACCTCTTAAGCTGTCCGAACCTCGTGAGATCCAATTGGGATTACGACCGAAAATGTTGATAACAGTGAGTACCCAACTGATCAATGTTTTATAATCACACACACACACACACACACACACACACACACACACAATGACCATCATACTTAGTTAAGTATTATTAGTATAAGGTTGTACTGTGTGGATATGCGTAAAGAAAGCTCCATTAGTAGCATTTAAAAATTCTGATGCATACAGTTCGTGCTAGTAAAGAGAGGTGAATATTAACAAGACATAAAGTAATATTCATTGTTCGTAAAATTATTCCATGTTGTGTGTGTACACCTAGACACGAAGTTCTAGTTATTGATTTAATGCCCATGTTTTCAGAAATTTGTTTTATACGTTTACTTAACGAGTAGAAATGAATTTGATCTCTGTACTGACACTTTACGTTGTGTTATCGAATGGTTTTAACATCGGGAGCCATTTTAAAAGGATACAAAAAACCTATATTACGCTGTTGAATTCCTCAGTTTCATATTGCCCAAAACTGATTTTGTCTATTAATATTTATTTATTCCTACTTTTGCAAAGCAATAATTCTTCCAATAGCAAATAAAACATTCAGCATTCCTTAAGTATGCTGAAAAACTTTTACAATGCCTTTTAATCTATGGTATTTGCATACAAATATATATTAGGCTACCACATTAGGCTCATTATTTCCAAGGAGAATTTTATGTTAATGTATTATTTTACACTTATAACAGCTTTATGTTTATTGCTATATTTTTGTGTACTGGATTATATTACACTTTAAAAAGGTAGTGTTAGACAGAAATATTGGAGAGCACTATATGTGAATGTCAGGAGAAATTACATTAATTTTAAACGAAGCAAATTCACTCGTTTCACACTATTCACAAAACAAGAAAAGAGATTTCCAGTTTTGTTCATAACATAGTAGAATTTAACGTGAGTAAAATTGTAGAAGTTTAAGGATAATTAATATATAACAGAGCGACGATCGTTTTCATTTTATATGCACATGTGTATTTTCCTTATTTGTATAAAACATGAACCATCATGTTCAGAATAGTAAATATAATTGATTGGTATCTTAAACTGCACGCAGTCTGATTGTGAATATTGAAGTGCTATTTGTACTTTATCATGCGTATACTTGAAACAAATTTTATGTCCGCAATGACTAGCATTCGTTTTACTGTATGATGTTACCACTCTCTATAGAAAAATCTTCTGCCACATTTTGGTCCTTGTGAAAGACTTTTGTCTGTTACCATAATAGACAAAATAATAAATACGAGTTTTAATAAAAAACAGTTAACCATGCGATACCATAAAAAAGTCTATGTTTCTAAGCTTACAATATTCCTCAGTGGATGTAACATCGTAAATGCACGCTATTCCCAAACCAAATGGAAAATATGCATACATATTTCTATCACTAAAATAAGAGTTTCATTAACAGAGATAACTAAGAAACCTACCATGATAAAATGAACGTTTTTGCTATTAAATGTTCTTTTCAACTGAACCAGGATCTATGGTTTGCGTCTTATTGTCGCAAAAAGCTGAACTTTGGAGCCGTAGGTGCGTTATAAAAGAAACTGTGAAATCCTACTATTATATTAGAGAAGTCCAGGAGATGCTGATAACTAGCTGCCTTCCCTCTAGCTTATCAGTTCAGTATTAGGATAGCCTAGAGTAGCTTTGCGCGAATACTCCAAACAAATCGAATTAACTGAACAAGATTGTGTTTAAGTTATCTGTTATCTTGAATAGAAAGGTAGCGCTAAACCTACATGGTTTCCTAATTCAATAATGAATGTTTTCAGGTTGATTATTTTAATATAATAACATCGGATTAATTTCAAGACAACAACATCTACACGTGCAATCTACTAACAAAAACGTCTAGCATAACTTTAGAAGCAATAACATTCTTCAAGAGTTAACTGTTTCTATATAACGACTATGAACTAAGTGATTTCTATTTTCTAACCAAGCTCTCGGTGCAAGGTAGTGTGTGTTTTAGTACTGCTAATGAACACTGCGGTAGATATGTCCAGTTGGTGTATTATTTCTTCTATCAGTAAAATCTCTTTAACTAATAGTGAAGAAAACGATTGATTGTAATGCACAGGCGTGGCCTGGTGGTTAGGGCGCTTGACTCGCGAACTGCGGGTTCGAATCTCGGTCACCGGACATGCTCGCCCTTTCATTCGTGGAGGTATTATAATGTGATTGTCAATCCCACTACTCGTTGGTAAAAGAGTGGCCCAAGAGCTGGTGATGGATGGTGTTGACCAACTGCCTCCGTCTAGTCTATCACAACTAAATTAGGGACGGCTAGCGCAGATAGCTCTTGAGTAGCTTTGCGCGAAATTCAAAACAAATAAATTTTCATAAACACCTTTTCTGGACAGTATTAAACATATAAAGCTGCCTTCCCTTTAGTTTATCAGTTCAATATTCGGGACGACTAGTGCAGATAGCCTAGAGTAACTGTGTGTGAATATTTCAAACAAATCAAATTAACTGAACGAGATTGTGTTTAAGTTATCTTTCTGAAATAGAAGGATAGCGTTGAATCTAAGTGGTTTCGTATTTCAGTAATGCAACCTCTTCAGGTTTACTGTTTTAATGTAATTGATATAGCCGTATGGGTAAGGTTTTGAACTGGACAGGGTTTTAAATGTCCTACGACAAAATTTGATCCTGGATATTTTCTACAAAGAAGCTGGTGTGCTATTCACTCGTCTAGGATCAAATAAACTTATTGATTTTAATGCTTTCCAGAAGGGTATCCACGTTTTACTGACCTCTATACTGTACTGGGTTATCAGTTACGTGGATGTAGAAGTCCTCTCTTCTCTTTCATTTTCTCGAGTGTAGAGTTCTTATCCCCTTACATTATATTGGACTCCACATTCAGAAGAGATGTTTTAAATAGTATTTTTTTTTCTTTTCACTCCCCATTATGTCTTCACTTGGTGTGTATTAATTGCGATTGCATTGTGTTACCATTTCAAAATACTATTCTGACTTTATGCTCTTTACATATCCTCTGTTTGTTTTCAGAAAGACATTTGACATAGGAGAATATGAATGTGTGTCTATAATTTGTCTCCTGTTTATTCTTGGAGCTCATCTTTTTTATCAAGTGTTCCGGGTATTCATTGTCAAGGAAGAATGTAATGATATGTTTTTTGTCATTCTTCTTAACATGTTCTGTATTACGAAATTTGTTCATTTTAGAAACTGGCGATTTACGATGCCCATTTCTACAATATAAAGCAAACCAACCCGTGTTGTAAATATTAAATCAAAATTAAAAAGT